ATTTGTTCATAAATGCTATGATTTGTATGGAGATCATACATAATAAATCCAAAACAACCGATTAATATTTAATCTTAAATTTAAAGTATGTGGATCTCATTTTGTCCGATTATTAATCTGAAGTAAACAGCAATAACCTTGAGTAAATTTACTATTAATATTAAGTCTCCTTAAATTTCCCCAGCTGCCTGCATAAGTAGAAATGGTTTAGCGAAGAATGTAGAGCTAACAAGACTTCTATTAGCGATTTAGCTTTTTGTATTTGTATTAAGTTTAGATCCACTTAAATGGAGTCATTAGTTTTAATACACATACATACACAGTGACAACAACAATAATATAGAAGAAGAAAAACTTAATCACAAAATCGGACTTAATCGTATAAAGAAATATTTGAGATGTGTTTAAAACAACATATTTTTAATGGTAATCAAGAGAAATTGTGCAAAGTTGTAAATATTTTTGTAAGTTTGTAAAGAAAATTTTAAATTAAACAACTACTTCCTTTTTTTATAAGTAATTTATTTATGTATTTCTTTATTATTAGTTTTCTTTTTTATTTGTTTTTATAATTTAATTTCTTTTTTAGTTTGTTGCTTTTTAATAGAGTTTTGCCATTTTTTTGGAATTTTATTTTTATGATTTTTAATTTATTTGTTTTATTTTCATTTTGTGTTTTTTTTTTATTGAATTTAAATAAAATAGTTTTTGTGATTGCTGTGGTAACTGTAGTTGTTGTTGTAGTTTGTACACAAAACTTAATTAAAGTGTGGAAAGTGATTGATTGTTGGAATGAATGAAGAAATAAATGATATTCAATAAATATTTTAATGTATTCACTTGTATGCGTGTGTTTTTATGTTTTGCTAAAGTGTATTTTATTAATGATTTTATTTGCTTAAATGTTTTTTTCTTGTTTTAATCGATTTTTGTTTAAATATATTTTTAATTTTTGTGTTTTAATTTATTTTATTTTGCATTTTATTATGATTATTGCAATGTATGGTCAAAAATTGTTTTATATAAATATGCAATTATGTATTAGTAAGTTATATATACTACATTTGTTTGTATTTGTTTTAATTATCATAGTTTTCATACATTTCTTTTAATAAAATCAAACATATTTACATAATAGTTTTGTTAAAATAGTAAATGTTTCTGAACTTAAATCGCACAAAACCCATATTGTTTAGGGGACGCATCCGGACGTTCAAATTGTTCAAATATTTAAGGCAATAAACGTAATTATTTTCCTAGACAATGAAGAAATAGCTATCTAAATACCTTTGTACAACTTTTGCTAGGACCAACAGGTGAAAAGTTACACTTATTTGAGAAAAACCCTCTATGACCAAATTGTTAAACTTTGACCCCCTCTAACTCCGGCAATTTTGAGCCTGTCCAATCGATTTTTGAGTTGGGTCACTTGACACGAAATTGCCCATATATGTATGTACATATGTAAGTTTGTATATCAAATGAAAGGTCTAGCGAATATCATTCATTTCAACTTATTACCTATTAGAACCCCCACTAAAACTCTTTCCTGGTGAGTTCGGCTTCAAAACGAACGAACAGTTTACATATGGGCGTCAACTCCGAAGTATTTGCTAACGAAAACAACAACAATCCTATTATATTTTTAGAAAAGAAAGTTTTGGAAATGGTTGAATATTTGAACAATGTGAATTCTTTTCAACACTCAATTTTTAACAAAAGAAGTAATTTCGTTTGATCAAAATCTATTGGTTTAAACAAATCTTATATCATAATATAAATAAAACACAACACAAGGATTTTTAAGGTACACTGAGAGAAAAAAAAACATGATAATAACTCTTTCGTTTTAATCAATTCCTTTGCCTATGTTCAACACTTATTAGAAATACTTATCTCAACGTTTCATCAAATTGTGCAATGATGTATAAATTTAAATAATGTTGCACTTTCAACACTATTTACAAACATACAGTTAAAGAACTGAAAAGAGTAAATTTAACAATATATATAGGTATAGTGTAAAATTTAATATTTTTAATAAAATTTTTAAAAGTAAGAAAAAATAAAAGTAGTTTGTGTGAGTGTGAATTGGCAGTGATTGGCATACTTAAAACTAAATATCTATATATAATTTTAAATGTTAATGGTATGTATGTATGTAGTTATGTATGCAGCTGCGTGTATGAAAGAGTATTTAAGTTTTTCTATTAATGTCAAATAAAACAAATTTCAAAATATGTATATTTGAAATGAATTTATACACTAGAGTTGTTAACTCTTGCTTAAATTATACTGATGTTTTATACACACGTATACATACGTATGTATATATGTATGTATGTAGCTGTATGAAGGTGATGGTTTTATTTTTTCTAAGAATTTCAATATAAGTATAAATAAATTTTTATTTACAAATTTTTTTCGATGTTAAAATTATTTGTTTTTATTAGTTTTTTAATTAAAAAGACAAAAATATTCCTATTAATACATATTGAGTTAATTAAAATGTTAACCTAAAAAATAAAAAGTTTAAGTTTATTGTATTCGAAACATCAATATAACGTATATTGCACAAATTTCATCCATATATCCCCAAAAATAATATCCACCGAATTCAAAGTATCATATAAAAATATTCCTGAAAATTTTTATAAAACCGATTCATAGAAATTAGTTTTTAGCAATACGTTAACTTATAAAAGGGCAATTTCATGTCTAGTGACCCCGACTCAAAAAATCGATTTTGATGCAATTTGCATCAAGGTTAGTACTATTGGATAGTAGACCAGACACTCTATTTAGCTATATCGGTCCAGAACTGCCGAACTTAGAGTGGGTCAAAGTTGGACATTTTGATCATACAGTAACCACAAAACCACAAAGTTTTTTGAAAAAAAAAAAATTAAAAAAAGAATCGAAAAATTAAAAAAAGTTAAACAATTTTGGAAACAATAAAGAAATAGCTATCTGAACTCCTTTGGACAATTTTTGCTAGGACCAGTAGGTGAATAATCATTTGAATAAAACATTGTATGATCAAAATGTGCATCTTTCCACCTCTCTTAGTCCGGCAGAGCTCAAAATTTGTCTCTGGTCTACTATCCCATAGTTTTAATCTTGGTGCGAATTTCATTTAAATAGGAAGACATCGATTTTAAAAGTTGGGTCACTTGACACGAAATTGCCCAAATACATATTTACCTACTTCCTCTATAATTCTAAGGCGATCTTGCTATATCCGTTTATGTGTTCGTCTATGGAATTCTTGATATCGTTTAAACGAAAGTAAAATTCTTGAACAATTCATCCAAATCGGAAGACATCGATTTTAAAAGTTGGGTCACTTGACACGACATTGCCCAAATACACATTTACCTACTTCCTATATAATTCTAAAACGGCTTTCCTATATCCATTTTTGGGGTCGTCTATGGAATTCTTGATATTATTTAAACGAAAGTAAAATTCTTTACTTTCAATCTGAACAATAAGCGAATCTGACGTTTGATTTCTATAAAACACAATCTTTCTTAAAAGTATAATAATATATATTTTTTACATATTTTTTTGTTTAAACTAAATAACGGTATAAGCTGAAAGAGAATTTTAAAAGTTATTATGAAGGACTTGACAAAACACTGTGAAAAGAATCACAATTTTGGAAATAAACAAGAAATTTGAGTCGTATTGATCTAACTATAATGGAATAACGGTGTTATGGATTATTTTAGTAACAATATTTTACTGGACGCGGTTTTTCGGCATGTTTCAGGCTTGATATAGGACTTTTAATACACATATTGTCTATGTATGTATGTGTATGTACTTATATCAATAAAAATTTTGGCAAAATAATGGGGTTTTACACAATTTTAAACACATTAACTTAAATAGCAATATTGTTGAAAGCCTGTTTGAAAAAATTATACAATATTAGAATACTTAAGATATCTGGGGTCTCCGGAAACTTGTTATCAACAAACATACTTACAGAATAGGGTCACAAAATTAAACTGTAGAAATTATGTATCTTCTCGTGAAGATAGAAAGGATATAAAAATGTTTGGTAAAGTATACAAATATTATAAATGATTTCTAGGAAGATGGTCGCCAACATATCCACTTAGATTGCTATAAATATTTCATTATTTAACTGAACCAAAGTGATCTTATGCTATTGGTATTTAAGTAAATATATATGTACAACATACAACATATCATAAGGAATAAAAATAATTTAATTACAAACTTGGAAACCTCATTACTTCATACTCTGTTGCATTAAAAACTGAAATTGTTTAAGACTGTAAAATAAAAATGAACACTTTATTATCGATATTAAACTTAAAACAGTTTTTTATTTAAATATATATATTTTTTCAATATTTTCTATGTCAGTTGTTTTTTTTTTGTTTGGTTTTTGGTATGATGTTGAGATTTATTTTGTTCTTCATTTGACTTAAATTTTTGTTTTGTTTTTTTTTTTATAAAGAAAATTCTTAAAAACTAAATACTCGTGTACTTTGTTGTGTTTTGGTTTTTGTTGTTTTTTTTTATTTCTTTAAATTAATTAATATTATTTAGTATATTTTCAAAAGTATCATTATTATTTGTTGAAATTTTTAGTTTATTATATTTATTTTTATAATAATTATTATTTAATTTAATAAATATATTTTATTTTATTTAATTAAGTATGACTAATTAGTTATTAAAAATTATATAATGTGTGTTTTGTTTTTCTTTGAATTTGTTTAAATAGTAAATAGTTTTTTGTTGTTTTATTAATTTAATTAAATTATTTCAAACAAAAATAAAACAGTAAAAAGGAGAAAACAATTAAAATATTAACGCTCGTTTTTTGTTCGTTTAAATAATATTATACTATTTAAGTATTTAGGAGTTACGTAAGTACCTAAGTAATAATAATTAATTAATTAATTAATATAATTTGTTTAAGTAAAATACATATTCTATACTTTGTATGTAGTTGGATTTTCTTTGTGTTTGTGTTGTTTTAAATACTTATTTAGTTTAAATTAAATTTAAATAAAATTTACATAACTTGACTAGAGATTTATTGGCTAAATAAAGAAATAAAAAGGAATTAATAAAAATTATAAAACTTTTAAACGAAAATAAAGTAACAAATATGTGTATAAATAAGTAAAAAAAATATTTTGGTAATGTTTACGATTTATAAGCAGTTTATAAAAACTATTTAAATTTATTTTTATTTATTATTTTTCTTTAAACATTTAAAATGCATAATACGATTGTTGCGCTTATAAATCTAATTTTGTTAATTTTTTTTCATATATATTATTATTATATATTTTTTTGTTTTTGTTCTAGAGTGATCAATTCGATATAAAAGTATTTTAAAAATTTAAACAACAAAAATAAAAACAAATTGGAAATATTGCTCTATTTGTGCTTTAATTATGTGTTTCTTATATAAGTTTAAGTTTTACTCCATTCTGATCAAGGCAAAGTGCTTGCAATAGTTTGTTTTTTTTTTTTGTTTTTGTTTTGTTTATAGTTTTCATTTGCAAATTCTGATCTTTTTTTGGTTTGCGCGGGAGTAGGGGGTGTTTGGTGTAGGAAATTTATAATTTTCTAGTTTGTAAGCAGCAACAACCTTATGGATCATCAGTTTGTGTTGTATAGTGACATTGATTCCCATGTTTTTCTTCAGTGTTTCTGTTTTGGTTTTGTTAGTTCATTTCAGCAACATTTAAGTAGGACTGTCTGCTGTGGAGCCCGATGCGGACATGCCATCTTGCAGTTGAGCGAGTGTTTTATACTTTTGGGAATTTATGAATCTGTAAGTATAAATCAGAGATTTTAATTATATGTAATCCTAGGAGCTGCAATAGACCTACCTGGGATATGAGTCTCTGAGCATTAGTGTGTATATTTGTATTTGAGCCTCGTCAAATGTATGTGATGTCGGTTCAACCATATTGCGATTGACTACTTCTCGTACTCTTGCATCTAGTGATACTTCGCGGGGCGACAATATTGATATATAATCTTCATAGATGAGTCGAGCCTTTTCCTCAATTGCTTCTGCATTGATTTCTTTTTTCAGATCTTCACAGGCCAACCAGAACAGTATGTTCTCTTCACTAAATTCACTACGTAGAAAATCACGAAATACTTTTCGACCACCTACAACAAGTGAACAAGAAAGAATTGATGTTATTATTTCTTTAAAAAAATCTATTATGTTCAGAACAGAAAAAAATCAGTTCAATATTTGTGATATTACTTTATTGCCTATGTTATTAAAAAAAAACAATATTCGAACAACTAAAGTTTATCCCCTGTATAGTATTTGTTTGTATTTTTCAGATTTTTAATTGTAAATACACGAAAGCATTACAGATGGAATAATCTAATATTTGGATACTAAAGATATCTGTCATTCTCAGGAAAATGGTTTCAACAAACACACGGGCATACTGAGGTAGCTTACTAGACTTCCGATTTTAATATATTCGAACTTAAATTTCAAGATAATAACTTACTTTGACTTTTCATTAGTTTATCAAAACTGTGTCCCCAACTACGTATTTCCTCCAGCGAAGGCCTGCAATTAAATACAAATTATGTTAAGATTTCATAAAAAAAATAAGTTAAAAAAAACTTACTGTTCTCCTTCTAATAATAAATCAGAACTAGCCGGATCACGTTTTGTAGGTGCATTGTCTTCTGCGTTTTTCAATGCCAAACTGAAAGTGAAAAACAAACAAAGAAAATGACAAATGAACAAAAGCAAATCACAATATGTAAAAAAATCGACAATTTTTTAAACAATCTCTTTGGAGTTTAAATTAAATTTTAACACACACTTGAATGTAACCGTATTTAAGAAAAACCAAGGCATATTATTTTCAATATTTATGCTTTTGCAAAATTTTTATTAAACTTAAACTTTAACACAACAACACACTATACATTTTCCGCACGAAAACTCAAATGTTGTAATGAAAATCAAAACATATTTTAGCTTTTAGGATTTCCCGTGTTTCAATGTTATTCCTTCCCCACTCTTTTGGTGTATGTGTACCTATGTTTAAATGTCTTATCTAAAGTGAACGTGGTGTAGCTAAATACCAGCAGTTATGTTTACTGTAATAGCAGCAAAAAGTCGGAACAATTGAAATCGCTTTTTTTATTTATAAATCCTAGTCCTATGTAATCTAGCCTATAGTCTAGCATATAGTCTGGTCAATAGTCGTCTAGTCTATAGTCTAGTCTGTAGTCTAGTCTATAGTCTAGTCTATAGTCTAGTCTATAGTCTAGTCTATAGTCTAGTCTATAGTCTAGTCTATAGTCTAGTATATAGTCTAGTCTATAGTCTAGTCTATAGTCTAGTCTATAGTCTAGTCTATAGTCTAGTCTATAGTCTTGTCTATAGTCTAGTCTATAGTCCAGTCTATAGTCCAGTCTATAGTCTAGTCTATAGTCTAGTCTAGTCTATAGTCTAGTCTATAGTCTAGTATATAGTCTAGTCTATGGTCTAGTCTATAGTCTAGTCTATAGTCTAGTCTATAGTCTAGTCTATAGTCTAGTCTATAGTCTAGTCTATAGTCTAGTCTATAGTCTAGTCTATAGTCTAGTCTATAGTCTAGTCTATAGTCTAGTCTATAGTCTAGTCTATAGTCTAGTCTATAGTTGTCTATAGTCTAGTCTATAGTCCAGTCTATAGTCCAGTCTATAGTCTAGTCTATAGTCTAGTCTATAGTCTAGTCTATAGTCTAGTCTATAGTCTAGTCTATAGTCTAGTCTATAGTCTAGTCTATAGTCTAGTCTATAGTCTAGTCTATAGTCTAGTCTATAGTCTAGTCTATAGTCTAGTCTATAGTCTAGTCTATAGTCTAGTCCATAGTCTAGTCTATAGTCTAGTCTATAGTCAAGTCTATAGTCTAGTCTATAGTCTAGTCTATAGTCTAGTCTATAGTCTAGTCTATAGTCTAGTCTATAGTCTAGTCTATAGTCTAGTCTATAGTCTAGTCTATAGTCTAATCTATAGTCTAGTCTATAGTCTAGTCTATAGTCTAGTCTATAGTCTAGTCTATAGTCTAGTTAACATTTCAAATGGCTTAAAATGGTCAAGAGCATCGAACATAACAACACAACACAGGTCATGCTATAATTTTGTACCTCACTGTGAAAGTACTTAAATCTGATTAGAATGTATAGTGATGGTGTTGGTTAAATGTTTTATTTTTCTGTTTTATCAGTTAAAATAACAATTCATGTTTTTTTTCTCCTTTTTTCACTGTATCATTTCGATATCAATATGAATGTGTGCAACTAAATTAGATTGGAGTTAAATGTTCACAGACAATTCAGACTAGTGAGTAGGGACAGAAACACATTCATTAAATGTATTTCTATCAATCAGTGTACTTTTGCCAGAGCTTTAAAGAATGTATCCTTTTTAAAGAAAAGTTTGAAAAAATACATATTTTTTAGACAATTATAAACATTATACAAACTAATAATTTGATTCAAAATAATTTATTAATTAAACTAAAAAAACAATAATGAATACTTTACAGGATCTGTCTACCTATAGTCAGACAATAAAACAAATTGCAGCAGATAGGAAAGATGGTCGGTGGGTTTTGGGGAACTTGTGTGCTTTATTATTATTGATTTAATACGATTAAGAAAAAATCATTTTTGTTTTTGTTACTGATAAACATCATCATTGAATATAGAAGTTGTTTAATAGAAATCATAATAATAGTAAGTAGTAGTATGTAGTTTGTTTTGACGCCGTTTTGTTGTTTTGATATATAAAGTTTTGTTTATTTTTATTATTTTTTCAATCTAAAATTATCTTATCAGCAATTAGCAATAACGATTTATTAATACAATTACAGCTAAATGAAGATGTGTGTGGTAAAAGGTACTAGTTATCCTACAGTAAAAAAAAGTGTTAATTGGTTTAAAATTTTCCTTTAAAATTTAAAAAATATTCTTTAGAATTTTTATATTTCACAACTTCGAAATTACTTTCAAAAAAGAACTTAAAAACTACTTCTTGAGCACGACTTCATAATCATAAAAAGGAATCTTCGTCGGTGTATTCGTATTAATAAGCCAGTAATGAGCGTTAAGATAATTTTCTGAAGGGGACCTATCCTCCATACTTTATCCAATGACTGACTGGTGCAGAATTTCAACTCTATTACTGTCTAATTAACATATTAATGATTGTTTAAGCTGTATTCCACTTGTATGGACCGATATTGCCGATATTTTCAATACCAAATAGTGCCTTTCATTGAAGAATATTTGTGCAAAATTTCAAGACAGACCATAGAATACTCAACCCGTTTATACACTTGTGAAGTCTAAACTACTATCATAACTAACATTGGTGAAAGTTTCATCCCGATCGGAAGATATCGTTTTCAAAAATTGGGTCTCTTGACATAAAATACCTCATATGTGTATGTAAGTATAAGTGTGAATGGATATGTTTGTGTGCTTGAACAGGATAGACAAAATACAAACAACGCTCACACAGATACATACCTGTGTTTCAATTTCGACACAACACTTTTCCAACGTTCAGCCATTATGTTCCGTTACTTTCACAAATAGTTTTTTAATAATTAATGTCTTGAAATTGTCCGATTGGCAAATTGTGGTAAAACATTTATTACTATTTATTTTTTTGTTCTTTTATAAACTTGCGATTTTCTTTTCGTTATTTTTTTTATTCAATTTCTATTTATGTTTTAAATATTTAAGATACAGATACAAATAAATAAAATGCTCATTCATACTCGTACACGGTATTTACACTTTGCTAAATTTTTAATTTGTTATTTTTTCGTATTTCGATTTTTTATTTGAAACTTTTTTGTTTTGTTTTAATCGAATTTTTAATTATGGCAAATTATTTGTGTATATGGGAACTTGTGTGTGTGTGTTTTTATCGGTTCTTAAATACAACATATCGCGTCTTTAAATTATTTTGTATGTTTGATTTTCGAGTGCTTAAATTGTACTGTCAAAATCTAATTTTGGAATTTATGAGGTGTTGTTTTTGTTGTTCTTGCTCAGTACGAGTAACAAACACTTTTTGTTGTATTTTCATTTATCTAGTATTTTTGTTATTGTTGTTGCAGATGCTTCCACTACATCTTTCAGAGATAGAAAATATTTCTCCAGCATTTTGGGCATTTTTATTTATTACTTTTTTTACGAGTATTTGCTAAATAGACGAGAATTTATTTCTTTATTGAATCATGTGAAAATATACACATTTTTGAGATTCTTAAAAATTTTCTATAATTTTTTTCTTTCTTTTGTTTGAATTTTTTTGTTTTCTGTTTGGTAAATGTAACAACGATGGGATTTTACTTTGGACTTTGTCAAAACTTAAAATTATAGAATATAAATCAGAGAAAGGGAACAGGGGCTGTGGAAATCATTGGCAGTTAATGGATTGATCAAATTAGCTACAATATTAATTTAAATTACACAAATGAATAAATGATTATGAGAAATTTACAATATTTAGTCGTTCTGAAAGATTTAAATGGAATGCATAATAAGAGGAAACATTCAAATTTATATTAATCGATTAATTGCACAAAAGAAAAACAAATACACGTAGAAAATTTAAATGGAATAGAATGCATTTCACTTTTAACTTAATATTGGTCATGGATCCTATGAAATATACGTATGTGTGTAATATACATGAGAATTTCCAAATATTGCAATATTTGACCTTCAACCTTCACAGATTATCTGCTTTGAATAAAACTTTAGAAGACTATAATACTCTGAAACAAATCTTCTTTAAAATATCCCAGCAGTTCTATTTAACCTACCACTCAGGGTTACCCCTAAGCTAGTCACCCCCACTGCCCAGGTGACTAGCTATTTTAACATGTGCCTGTCCTACGAGGGAGTCAATCCTCACACCATAGATTCCGAAGAGACAGACAAAAAACTTTAGTTTGGTTTTTAAGTGTCCATCTCTGGCAAAAATCAATTATAAATACATATTATTAAATATTACACACAAATCTAAAAGGTTCATACAATTAGTCTTAGTGAAATTTTGCCCTTTAATAGCAATTAAACGGAAAATAGAGAAAATTAAGATGACCTAATGTTAATTATTACATGACATCCACGGATGCCTACAAAAAGGAGGAAGGTATTATATAATTCCCTCTACTTCATTCTTTGTTTATTTATATACTTGAAGCTACATTTTAATTAAATATTCATTACACTTTGAATTGTAACTAAACTAGTACAACAACTACAATATAACATTACATAATTAAATAAACTGAAGTACTGCAAAGGAAAATAATATAATCTCATAATAAACCTTTATAAAAAGAAGAAAAAAATGACTTGAATATTTAACATAGGACACAACAGTGGGGTAGCAAAAATGATATGTATGTTTTAAGGAGGATTATAACTACCCCACTAAGCACTTTTCAGTTTACAAATTTTCATTAACATATCCAAAATATTAAAGTTTTTTTGCAATACTCTTATTTTCAGCACAACTGTACACATTAGAAATGTTCTTTGTCAAAGGCAATGAAAAGTGAACCAAAAAAACCAAGAAACAAACTCACAAATTCATGTACAAACACCTACACACTTTAATATCTATGTGTATAGGTGAGTGAGTAGGTGAGTTAGTATTGTGGCATGTGGCAAATGTGTGTTTAGG